TCAGGTTTTCTCTATTGTTTTCTTAATCGGCATTTGTTGCAGGTCATACTATTTCGAAGAATTATTGGGACTGTAAAATTTGAAAGAAATCTTACCTCAAAAGTCATAAAATTTGGAATATTCACTACGGCCACGACAAAAAGTGTCACGAGTGCAATAAAACAGGTTGCTCGGGCAGTAATTTGTTCTGATGGTCCAGCCGTAGCACGTTTTATAGTGTAGACACGTATTTGTGCGAGCAAAACCTAGAAGCAAAGATCTGTCTATTAGGATTACGTTATAACTCAGCTTACCGTGAGCCAAATGCTAGTCGCATGTAGAATTACAGTACTTTGTGAATGAGCAAAAAGAAAATATGCCCACATCCTATTATAGTCATCTGGATCACATCTGAAATATTTATTTTGTTAATGAACGGTTTCTAAAAAATTGAATTTTTTAGAAACACTTTCGAGGCATTAGGTTAATCCATAAGCCTTGCATCAACGCTCAACATTCCCTAATAAACAATCGAAATAACTTTTAAAATTATACATTATATATCTTGGAACAATGATTGCTTTATTAAACTCCTATAATAGATTTTATTCAAAACAAATGGAAATATCGAGCAAAAAGTCAAAAAACTTCACTGTTAGAAGAAACATAACACCTTATCTAGAAATAAAACTGGAATTGCTGGATTTTCTAGTTTTTTAGGATCAAAAATTTAAAAAATGACGGTTTGAGCATCTCTTTTAATCAGCTTGATTACTGTAATATGAAAAATAAATTCTTACTCAAAGCATTGTTATTTAACGCAATGCGCATGATTTTCTCTTTCTGAGCTGTATTGAAGTGAGCAAATTTGTTGAAAATCAAATAGTAAAATTTCAAAAACTTGGGTGCAATACTTATGGAGGTAAGTTTTAGTGAGGATGAGACAAAGTTTGAAATCAGAAAAATTGAGGGGATTACGTGACTAATATCTAAGCCAGAATTTTTGCAGAGTCCAGGTAAGTTCACGCTATGGGGGAAATTTGCATGCGCGTTTTCTAAATTTCTTCAAATGAATTTTTGTGTTGATTTTTTGCAGCAAATGGATATTAGAAATAAAGCTTAAACCTGAGGGAAAAGTCTTAACTTTTGTAAATCTCTCGCACTAGTCTTTATTAACGATTTTTTCTGTAAATTTCGAATTTGAACAAGTGCTATCATCTTACCTGAAACTAGATGATATGAGAAAATGAGAGACAAATACGAGGACCGACATCATCACCAGCATATCACAGATAGCAACGGCGCAAAGAATCGCGTTAATAGGAGACAACATCGATGGTCGGGTCAAAACGACGATTGTTACGGCATTCATTGCTGTTCCTGGAAAAAAATTCCTCATCTATTCAATTTTATAGATTTTTTCTCGCCCATTTATACTTTTCGAAGGGAATATCCCGAGTCAGAATCCGCTTACCTGCAAGACATAAAGCCACAGCTACATAAGGATGAAGCTGGGCGTAGACTCCGTTGAGCGCGCCGACCGCATCCACTAACCATTCGGAGTCCGTCAGTGGTACGGTACCCATCACACATGTGTCCATCGAAGCGTGAAACCCGTGAACAGGTCACGCGATAAGGGGAAAGGACCCGAAATGATCTGAAAGTGTTCTGGGACATATTTCTTCCATAAAGGCTACAAAATCTGCACGAGGAACGAGAATGAAATAAAACTCGTAAAAATGGTAGTATATGGGAAAGGGAGAAGGTGGTAATACAGAAATTTCTGATGCAAAGAAAAATTATCTTTCATGGTGGACCTGTAATGATGCGCACCTATACCATATGGTTTTTAAGACTAATTTTTTTAAGACTAGTTTTTAAGACGAACCATCATTCCTAAAGATGCTAGATTCGCAGGAGCGTTCGTTGCAGGAGCCGCGCGGTCTCCCTCAAATTCACCTTATAGAATAGGCACAACGATTCTTTACACATATAACAGATGAGATATTCAAGTAAATGCTCTTT